TGGTAGTCTGGTTGGGAGCTGCGCTGCATAGAAGGATTCCTCGTGGATTATGTCGCAGATTCAACTCCTTGTAATGTTTTATTTTTTAAGACTTCATTACTTCATTACTTGTGCTTATCCATTACTCCGCATTAAGCATTTTACTTTGGACTCCCAGCTTGGAGATGTGCTTTAACACTTCTATTAATTTTGACACATACTTCATATATTGCATTTTTATACATATAGCTCTCTATTGATTTTTTTAAATTGAATCACTCTAGGATAAGACATTGATTAAATCACACTTTAGATTTCTGATCTATATCTTTTATTTTACATTCTTATTTTGTCAATATAAATTATTTGTCACTTTTTCTTTCTTACCGTATTCATATGCAAGTTTTCTTTTTTTAGTTCAATGACCCTAAAATTAAATTTATAGCATAATTGTTAATTATTTCAAAATAAGAAAACAAATCAATGTGTTTTAAACCATTTCTTTCTTCTTCAAGTTATCACATACATCATTTAATGTGTAAATTATCAAGAATAATTCTCAACATACTTTAAATTAACATACCTATTTACTTTTCCTTAGCATAATAGCATTATTTATTTGAGACACATTATATACGCATATATACAAGCTTTGGATCAAATAAAAAGAGTTATTCTCTTAAAAAAGATTTATTCTCATGAAAAATAAGAACAAATCTTGTGAATTAAACTTGGGATCTAATGGCTCGAAATCAGACAACAATGCACTACATTTTATGAGAAATGGGTCACAATTTACAAAAGCAATCAAAGCTTCGTCATCGCAGAATAATGCAAAAAAAATTACCTGTGCATCAGAATGAGTAAAAAGTGCACTCGTTTACACTATTCACGTGAAAATGTTTTTCTATTGTAAAAATAAACAATGATTACTTTAGACTCGTTTTTCCTTTATTCTAATAAAAAAATTGTTTTGCAAAAAAAAATAATAATTATACTTCGTATATATAAGAGCACCCGCTCAAATTATTCTCTGTTACGCCACTGTTTAGCATGAATGTTGAATGACTGAATCTAGTTTAGATATTGCACTACTAGAGATCTGGAAATTAAAAGTCATACGAAAAGAAAAGTTTGCAAAGAATTGAAAGAATTGAAGTTATTATAGTATGCATTGCGACATAAATAAAAACAAATAAATCTTAGTAATTTCATCTCAACCATCATCCCTATTTATTTAGTTTGCATTGACAATTAATTAATGGACTTGAAATAATTGTATTGTATTCAAAACTTAAATTAAAGTATTCATATAGTCCTGGGGTGATTTACCGAAACACGGGGAAAGGGGGTTGCCAAAACACGGGGATTAATCTAGGGTTTACCAAAACAAGGGAGTCGGAACTCCCAATTCCGACTAGAAGTTAGGGTTTCAAAAAAGCCAAAAAATTCCCTCCCCCTAGTCGGATTACCCAATTCCGACTAGGGAAAAAATATATTTTTTTTTCGATTTTTGTTTTTGATTTCGAATTAGTTAGGGTTTCGAAAAAAGAAAAAAAAAATTCCTCCCCCCCTGGTCGGATTACCCAATTCCGACTAGGGATTTTTTTTTCTCTCGAATTTTGTTTTTGATTTTGAGTTCGAAAAAAAATAAAAGTGTTAGGGCTAAATTATATCAATTCCAAATTTAATTTTTTTTTAGATTCATGACATATTTTTTAAAATGAAAACTTAGCATTATGATTTTTTTAGTAAGAAAACAATTGATTGCTTTAAATTGTTTTTTAATCCATTTGTATTGTGAATTTTGTTTTAATTGCAATTTTTGTAATTTTAAGTGCAATTTTGATTTACTCCATTCGTCTAAATAGATAAAAATTTCATTTTGTTTTAAGTGAATTTTTTTTGTAATTTTAATGGAAGTGAACAAAACAAATGTAGTTTTCAATATAATTTATTAATGAATAGACGGTACATACAAAATTAAATTTAATACTACATCTAATGTTGCGTGCTCGGCCCTGCTCCATCTCCACCGCCAGTGTTCCAAGGCCCCGTTGTGTCTCCATAGTAAAAAGACGAATTCAGAAATGACTCAACATAATCATCCGGTTGTGTGGACCACTGATAAGAATCATAATACGGCGGTGGTTGATCAAATGACCCACCTTGATGCGTTGAGAATTGAGGGGGTGGTTGATCAAATGAGACACATACCCTGTGTTGAGAATTGAGGGGGCGCTTGTGAATCCTCACCCCCATCTTCACGTTCATGTGAATCATCCTCTTCGTCACTTCCACCTGCATCTTCATCTTCATAGTGGAATATGCCCCGGTGGAGCATATCTTCATCACCTACATCCAGGGCCATCTGCCATAGTCGTTTTTGACAATCCTCATAACTCGCGCGGTCGGCTAAGAGCTGATACACCTCGTGAACGCCTTGCTTCTACATAAAAATGTAACACGTGTAAATAATATGACACGATATATGGTAGCGAATATGGTATGTATTCAAAAACTTACCACAATACCCCAATCGTGTGCTGTCGGGGTGTAGCCTGTCGTGGGCACATTGTGAGAAGGGTTCTGGACACGTGTCATACCATTCTTCTTGTACCAGTTTTGGTACCTTTTAGTTGATTCGAGGGACATATATCGATCATAATCAAGAACGTATATATTATGTTGTATGTCCGCCCACATCGCCAAGGCACCGATTACTATGTTGGAACGAGATCCGTGATGATCAGTACCCGGCAAAGGAGCATTCGGAATGTCTTGCCTTATACCGAACTGCCGAAGAAATCGATCCAGGTAATGCATTTCGGCCATATTGCAAAATATGAGCATGACTCTAGCCGACCAAAGCGGAGCATCATTAAGGATGAGAGGCGGGAGCATCTCGGACGCGTAGGGAGTGAAATCAAACTGTAAAAAGTTTAATTTGCAATTTAAAAACTAGAAAAAATGGTGTATTTTAAGGCTGAATAGTACGGTTGAAGTAAAAATTTCATGTACTACCTGACTCTCAGTCATGCGGTCTAGGTCATCCCGGTACAAGCGTATGCAATGTCTTGGGGATCCCTTATATGACTTGGGGACGATCCACCTACATTTATTGATTACCAATATGAAGTTAAAAAATGTAACGTCATGTAAAGCATTCTCAATTTTTATACTTTGGCAATTTTCCGTGAATTAATTTAATTTCGGAAAATCCGTCGCCTCTAACATGATTTAGAACTTTCTCATGTATAGTAGTATAATCATCTCCTTCACTAACCCATAGTACCGCCCTAGGAGGTATGGAGTACTCTATTTCATCATCTTTTTGAGATGTAGAGCCATTCCAATGAACCATAACAACAATATTACCCTCACTAGACATTTTTTATATATGGTATATATTATAAATATAATATGAGAGGAGAGTGCTAAACAAAAAAAATAATGAATATATGAAAGTAATTAAAGTAAGAAGTGTTTTGGATGAATATGGTATGTCGGTACCCTTACGAAAGAAAGAAGTGTTTTTGGAGTGTGTTTGTAAATTTTGAGAACAAACAAATTGATTTTATAGGCGTATTAGTGTAGGAGTTCGGTGAAATACTAGAACCGCAATTAAACACGTCACCAAAACATTAAAAAAAACAATTAAAAATATCACACTACCTAGTCGGATTCCCCAATTCCGACTAGGTGTTGGGTTGCTTCTATTAAATACCTCACCCACTCCAAACAAAAAAAAAAAAAAAAAAATATTACTCTAGTCGGAATTGGGGAATCCGACTAGGTGTTTAATTGGGTTTTTTCGGATTATTAAACATTATTATTAAACATTCTAAATAAAATAAATAATAATACCCTAGTCGGAATTGGGGAATCCGACTAGGTGTTTAATTTATTTATTTTGGATTATTAAACATTCTAAATAAAAATAATAATAATACCCTAGTCGGAATTGGGGAATCCGACTAGGTGTTTAATTTATTTTTTTTGGATTATTAAACATTCTAAATAAAATTAAAAATATTACCCTAGTCGGAATTGGGGAATCCGACTAGGTGTTTAATTTGGTTTTTTCCGGATTTTTAAACACTTCGCCAACTCGGAACAAATTTTTTTTACCCTAGTCGGATTACCCAATTCCGACTAGGTGTAAGGCTGAAAACCCTAATCTCTAGTCGGATTCCCCAATTCCGACTAGCGTGTTTTGGTAACCTAAAACACTTTCCCGTTTTTTGGCATGTCAGACGGGAAACTCCCGTGTTTTGGTAATTTTCTCGCTGTATATATGGATTTGGCCTGTAGTAAAATGTCCCCGAAATGAAGACCAGATCGTACGTAATGAATATGCATGATATCTCAGTACACTTCGTACTAATTAAGCTACCTATATCACTACTCCGTAATTGACTTCTTTAAGTTTGCAATGAAATGTGGCATCTCATATAGGAAAATTACTACTTATGATTAATGAAGTGCATACTAATTAAATTACTGAAAAGCAAAAAAAATTACTCTCATGTAATACTATCGTATATGATATGATACACACATGCATAACTAATTTTAACTATTCAAATTTCAAAGTTTCAAACGAATTGAATGCCATGCTTAAAGTGTATGAATAATACGTAATAATGTACGAAGTACAAATTAAATGATACATATGGATCAGGATATGATTACTCTTCCTTAATGCACAATATTAAACGATCCTATCATACAAATATCTATCAAATTCTTGTGCTAATTTACTCACGCAGTTCATACTAAATTACATACCTTCATGATGAAACTATTTTCTTCAAACAAAATCCATGTTTAAACCTACTATATGAAAAATACGTAAGAATGTACAAATTTTGAGGATGATACATACGGATCCGGATAACTCTTCCTCAATACACAATATTAAATGATATATATGATCCTAGCATACAAATTTCATCAAATTCTTGTGCTAAATTATATACCTTCATGAAACTATTTTCTTTAAACGAATTATATTCCACAAACTATATGAAATACGGAGTACGTGGTATAAGACAATCTTCTGTCGATCAATACACAATATTAATTGATCCATATATAATACAAATCTCTATCAAATTCTTGTGCTTTCATATCAAGATGATAAAGTAATTAATCAACTACTGTACTATACATATATCATGATAACATTTGGCCGCATGATTTCTTGAGATGAAGGGCAAGAACCTTGTTGACTTTAATGGCATAGTCTCTTTCAACGTTGGAGGACGGCTTGAAATATGGATGCTCCAACAATTGCCTACAACTCGGCCTCCTCTTGGGATCTTCATGAAGGCACTGTCTAATCAAATCTGCAAGAGAATCTGAACATTCTAGAATCTCCTTCTTCTTCACCATCTTCTTGCAATTGTTGAAACCGCAGCCAAACACTTTCTTGACTATGGATGACGATGGGTTTGACTTTTTTGAAGAAAAGTCAACGCTAATATTCTTCCCCTTCACCAAATCCCTCACTTCCTTGTAGGTAGACACCGGAACCCGGCCGCCGGAGAGAACCTCCAATATAAAGAGCCCGTACATCCATACGTCCGCCGCCTTCCCGTGCGCCATCTTCGGGTCATTGGCGAACTCCGGCGCCACCCAGCACTCCGCCGGCGGCTTAGTGACCCCCTCGCACATGAGCTCCCGGAAACCTAGCTTCACCTTGGAGAAATCCTTGCCGTCCAAGTAAACCAGCCCGGCGCAAACGTCGCCGTGGGCTCTGTCGCCGGCGGTGTGGATGCAGTCCAGCGCCTCTAGGGTTTGGCGTAGAATCGAAGCCCTCATGGGTTCCGGCAAAGGGGACGGCAAGCTGGTCATCATCCTCCTCAAGGAAACCCTAGACACGTCAGACATGACGATCCATAGCCGGTCATCCCTAGGGTTCTTGAAGGACACGTGGAGGCCCACGAGATTCTTGTGGGGACAACGTTTGGCCAATTTGTATGCTTCCAGCAGCTCGTACAGGCACTCCATCTTGTGGGTTTTAACGGCCAGGATCTGGACAGGAACCTTAAGAACATCCGAGGAAGATGGGGATTTGAATACGGCGGCGGCTTTCATCATGACGCCGGAACTTGTCGTGCGGATGGGCTGCTGATCAAGAACGTAACCGTCTTCTCCACGTGCTTTCTCCATAGTTTCTGGCTGGATCTCCTTCAATTCTCTCAACAATATAATACTACGTATACGATAGTAGAATATAATGAAAATGCTCTCAAAGTTAGAAAATCGTACGTTGATTCTTACGAGTAATGTAATGATATTTTTAGGGTTCCCTCACTTAGTATTTGTAGTAGTTTCAGAACCGACTTATATCTCCTTAGCTTGTCCTAATGGGAATTGAAACTTGCGACCAAAGTATACTTGAATAATAAGTATATTTCCTAATTTCTGCATAATCCTACTCCGCATAACCTTATAGTTTAATTCTACATAATCCTACTCCTTAGCTAATTGTCCTAATGGGAATTGAACTCCATAATTTTTAGTTGTTAGGAACATTCCATACGCATATATTTCCTAATTTGTACATAATCCTACTCCGCATAACCTTATAGTTGTTACTAGCTTGTTCTTAGGATGTTTTTCTTTTGGACTGAAATTTGGTGGTCTGATCTGGTCTGGTCTGGTCTGAACCGGTCTGGTCTGGTCTGGTCTGGTAAAACGTCTGGTCTCTGTGTATTTGATAACTACGGAAGTCAAGTCAAGTCTGATATGGTCTGGGACTGAAAATAGTCCAAAAGAAAACATCCTTAGTTTTAATATCCTCAATTAAACTACTTTAATTTTTGTGGATTGCGGAACATATATAGAAGGAAATGAGGAAATCTTGTTGCGATTTCCGTGGGAGGTTCATGTGATTCATTGATGCAAATTGCAAAATGATGGCATGGGATATAGCATGAAATAAGGATATTTTCTTTTGGATGTATTTTGCTGGTCTAGTTTGATTTAATCTGATCTGTTTAAGTTGATCTTGTCTCATAAATGTCTGGTCTCTGCGTATTTTATAACTATTCAAATCTGGTGTGGTCTAGTGTGTTTAATATAAATTTGGTCTGATCTGATTTGGACTAATCTGTTTAAGTCGATCTGGTCCGATCTGGTCTTCTCTATGTTGGTTAAGAAACCTAAGTTTTAATTTCATAAGAAAGATGAGCAACATAAAAAATTACAATACGATCAAACTTAAAATGACATGGAGAAAACGTAACACATGGTCGATAATATTCCATGTAATTTTATATTTTTTGAACACCTTTTAAGTTATTTAGCAGTCGCTGACAGTCCTCAGAGAGTGTTGGTAAAAAAAATGTTTTTCTCCTTTTGACTTAAAAAAAATTGAAATGAGTGTTTCAAATGACATATTATGTTTAAATTAAATACTTAAAAGCTAAAAGCTCGAAGCAGATGGCAGATTGTTTTAAACTGCTTTTCACTTTTTCTATAATATAAAAGTATAAAACACACTTATTTTATCAAACGTTACTAACTTTTACTTTTTCAGAATCACTTTTTTGTCAAACATTATTAACTTTTATCATTCCCTCCGTTCTGAATCGTAAGGCACTTTATGGTTTGCGATGTTTGACTGACGATAAAAGTAAATTGATCCTTGTCAACACTCAAATTAGTTTTAGAAAATAAAATTTACATATTCAGAAACAACATTAAAACTGCTACAAAACCTGCAAAAATTAATCCAAGTTTCATAAAATTTTGATATATAGAGTTAGAGATTAAGAGTGATTTGTGTTACCAAGTGAATAGAAAAGATATCATACAAAATGAGACTGAAAAAGTATTACGTATTTTCTCCAAAATTAATTTAAAAAGTCACTTTTTAAAAATAGAAGCTATCACAAACACTTTTTTAATGTGAAACTAGGGGCAGCCCAGGGATGGAGCAGGGGGCAAGGGGGCTTCGGCCCAAAGAATATAGAAAAACTTAGGCCCATAGGTTTGTGTTGGGCCTAGACTAATAGTTTTGTGCAGCCCAACCTAGCCCAAGAATACCAAAAAGCTTAGTAAGTGACAATTAAAAACGGAGACTTTGGCCGGTCAGCCCCTTCAGGAGTTCATGGCCGCAAAAAGGAGGTTAAGGAGCAGCTGAGCAGCAGGTCGACGCAGCCCAACCGCCACGAAGGCCAAGTCGTCGACGGCCGACGCAGCGATACTTGGCCGCCTGCCGCCCTATTTATCCTCAGTGCTCAGCGAGTCAGCCCTATTTCTGTTGATCTGTTCTGCCTTGAACAGTTGAGCCTTTATTGATGCTGAGGACCTGAGGTTACATAATTTCTTAATTAATTGATATGTTGAATACTGCTTTAGTTGCTTTGTTGATAATGTGGTTCTATTTCTTAAAAGTTATTAGTTGATTAATTTATAATTGTTCACTGGTTGGATTTTAAATAATTAGTTAATTTTTCTGTTATGTGATTGAATCTCAATTTTTTTCCTATTAATTTGTTTTGTAAAAATTATGAATTATGTGGCTAGTATTTTGACTCGTATGTGGCTGCTCTCGTAGAAACTTTCTACAATCTCTTTTTCTATGCCCATAATTACTACAATAATTGCAATATCCCTCAAACCAAGTACTGTTTTCAAAGGGCATACCTCTCTCTTGTGATATGCCGCGAACTTGAGAATTGCCTCTGTTTTGACTTTGGCCTCTACCTCGACCTCGACTTCTTCCTCCATTTCACATGCTCATATGTTGGAGAGCTCCTTCCAAGAAGGTGTCTCTTGGCAACTTCCAAGAAAGAAGGTGGAAGATACCTACAGTAATGAGGTATATATATGAAGGAATAAAAGGAGAAAATATAAAGCATGTTATTATGACAAAGAAATCTTAAATTGGGCATTGGCCCGAGTTACGTGACGAGAAGCATGTTGCGGCTTAAGACTGGCAAAGTCAGAAGTTTGAATGCCTATTCTTTGATAAGCAGATCGGATACATGAAGTAATAAAATATTACGTAGTAAAAATGTTCAAAAATTTAAAACCAATTCAAAGCAGTAACCTAGCCAATTCAGCCTGACGTTTAAGGAAAAAAGCAGTAATCTAGGTAATAAATGGAGTAAAGTTGAATGAGAAACTTAAACGAAAACATGACCTTGAGATTTCGAGCAAGCAACATCAGTGGCGGACCTAGACATCAGAGCTCAGCGTGTGTACATATATATTAATAAGAACATTACAATAGGGAAATTTCCTGAGATAACTTAAACATTTTTAGTTTGCTGAAATATAATTAGTGGGTGGATGGCTGGCAGCGGAGGACAGGTTAGCAGCGAGAGACTTGAGTGGAGTTGTTAGTCTATAAAAAATATTTATTTATTTGTACATACATTAACTAATAGTATGAACTTAAATATTATTTTAGGAAAAAACTAGTATGCTCATAGATTGGGAAAGTGATAGAGTTCTAGTCTAGGGTAATTATGTATATTGATTACTAGCTGAAAAATGAAAAAAATAAACTATAAATTCAAAATTTTGGTTATTTTTTATTTCCCGCTGGTTACAAATATAAAACATAACTTTGGCTAAAATAAAAAGATACATAATATCGGCACAGGCCTAACGACATTAAACATAATAACAATGGCCGGTGTTACTATTGATACATTAGTTCAAACGTAAAAGCAATTACGGGTATGTTCTAATTGGTTTAGAGAGAAAGAAAGGATATGAGAAATGAATCGAGAGGGATACCTGAAAACTTGAGTTATTTGCATAATGGCTCTTCTCATTAAAACTCATTGAAAGAATCTTACCCGACGCCATTATTGTTGAATTTTGGCAGTAATTTTTCCTCTTAGCGGGTAATTTTGGCAATAATTTTGGCAGTAATGATTCGAAAATAATAACAATAATTATTACTCCCTCCGCCCCCTTTAAATGTTCCGGAAGAGAGTGACACGAGTTTTAAGAAAAATGAGTTTGTGTGGTTTATATTAATTGATAAAGTAAAAATAAAGTAAGAATGATTTTGAGCCACACAAATTTTACCAAATAAGGTATGAGACAATTAATAAGGACATCCCAATATGGTAAAACAGATCATTTAAAAGGAGACGGAGGGAGTAACTAATAAAGATTTAATACAAAACATTAAAGAAGTAAAAAAAAGTTGAAATAATGGCCCGGTTATGACTTCTGACTTTTCAATATCCAAATATATGACCCATTAGCTAATTTCCACAAAAGTGAGCCGTCCATTTACTTTATCCCTTCGTTGCACGCGAAACCTTTCTTCTCCCCAGCAAGTGGAACCTCAACACTTTCATCCGCCGACATGAAGCTGTTCCTCGACGCCGCCGGGTCTGACTGGCTGCTCCTCGCTCTCTTGGTCGTCTCGCAGCTGCCGCTCGCCATCCCTGTCGCTTTCCATCTTCTTCTCTTTCTTTAGTCGGCGATTAGGATTGGCATCTCCCTGCGACGACCTCTGCAACTATGTCAATGAAGATGACGACGATTAGGGATTTTAGGGTTTCCAGATTAAGGATCTGGCTGGGGCTTTGCCATCCCAGGCACTTAACGGTCTGGCTTTGTTTCAGACGGCCAGATATGATCCGTGTGAATTGGGTCGGGAGGTGGTGGCTAGCAAGAGGTAGGGGAGGTGGCTGGGGGCTAGGGAGGGACTGAGGACGTGGCTGGGGGCTAGGGAGGGGCTGGGAGGTGACTGGATCTGGTGCGGCGGTTGGCGATCGCGGGCTGCGGCCGCCTTAGGATGACGGGGTAGGCTTTGAGGAGCAGGGGAGGGATGGGAAAGGGGGACACCAGAGATGGTGTAACTGGCCGGAGACGCGGCGTGTCACTGGCCGGAGACGCGGCATGTCACTGGCCGGAGACGCGGCGTGTCACTATAATGTTGTCACTATGAATGGTGGGGGTAGTCACTGTGGTCCGGTGACTGGTGGGCAGGCAGTCACCGTGGCCGGCGGAGTCACTTTGATGACAGTCACTGTGGCCAGAGTCACTTTGGCCGGAGTCAGTTTGACGACAGTCACTGTGGCCAGAGTCACTTTGGCCGGAATCACTTTGGCCGGAGTCACTTTGACCGGCGGCGGTGGTGGCGCCGGCGGCAGCAGCAGTGGTGGTGTTGGGGTCTAGGGTCCGGAGGTGCTGTTGGCTACAATTGTACTCCGTATAAAAAGAATATTAAAAAAATAAATATATGATTAAGTATTTAAATGACTTTTAGTCACATTTTGGGGAAAAATTAAAACAACTCACTTTTTTATCTTTTTCATTCATTTTAGTAATATTGGAATAAAAAGGTCAAAAAAGTTGAAGTGGAGTCTAGAAAAGTATAAATGAATCGCAAGAATCCGGAACTTCTAGAAATGACTCAAATGAAAAAGCTCCGAAATGTATCGGGTGAATAAAATGGCATACTCAAAATACTTACAAATTTAAACTTCAAGTGAAGCCTTGACAAGTTGACAGGTTTCGAACAACTGACCTGCATAAGGAAGCACTTAATTTATCGTATTCAACCACTCAGGCTAGTAGATCATTTTATGTAATATGGGGTTGGGGTGCAAAACAAATATTTTAAAAATCGGCGTGCAAAATTCAATTTAGACAATAATATGCGGTGCAAATTCAAATTCACCCGAGTATGTAGTGTGTACTAAACTTTTCTATCTTTCGTTTTACAAAAAATACTTTCTAGAAAATTATTACGAGACCATGCATACAAATATGTGGAAATGCCAAAAAACAAGTAATTGTAGAATCGAAATAGTTTCTACATAAAGGAGAAATTAACTATTATATTCATTATACTTTCAGCATTTTACGAGGCCATGCTGGAGCTATCATAATGCCAAATAGGTACTCCCTCCGTCCCCCTAAATTTGTCCCATTTTACCTTTTTCGTCCGTCTCATTAAGTTTGTCTCATATCATATTTGGTAATATTTGGGTGATTACAATTCATTCTTGTTTTATTCACACTTTATCAATTCAACACCAACCACACAATTCCACTTTTTCTTAAAATTTGTGTCACACTTCTTTGTCCCAAACATAGTGGGACGGAGTAGTAATTGCTAGTTGGGAAATGGTTGAATGGTTGACCTGCAAGCCTATTGTATTGTATGTCTAGATCATGGGAAAAGCAGGGAAGTAAGAATAAAGATTCAAAAATGCTTTAGGTACACACTTTGTGTACACACTTTGTGTACACTTGTCTGTCCTTTAAGAAAATTTTGTCTGTCACAGACAACTCATAATGAATTGTCTGTGACAGACAAAATTTTCCTAAAGGACAGACAAGTGTACACAAAGTGTGTACCTCTAGCATTCCTCATAAAGATTACTTAAGGAACGTCATATCCTTATGTTTCCGACTTTTAGTTTTACCTGGCAAAGTGCTTAGGAAGCTGAATTGAAAAATGAACAATGATAGCCTAAGTGTTTACATATGTTTAGATTTCTTATACTTTCAATCCTTTCCAATAAAAAGTCCTTTAGATGTTAATTTGGGTAGATGTTTACAGAGTAGATAAAAATTTCAATTCAATGAAAAATAGGCAAAACACGCCTACAAGTTTCAACTGGCGGAACAATTTAACTAGAAGCTAAGGATCTAATTGAGATTTGAATAAATTTCACTTTTGATCCTAAAAGCATTACACTAAATCTACAATTTGTCCACATCTTTGATTTTCATAACTTTTGCTACATGAATATTGTTTTCCGCCCATATATGATCCTTCCATCGATATTTCAGTGGTTAAAATTGGTGGTGAGACGTCGAAAATATTAGACAAAAGGATCACAAATGGTCAAGAAACATCATTGAACAGGGCAGGGCCAGAGCACTGTGCTAGTACAAAGATTTTTTTAGAAAAAAATCTCCCAGGAATTTTTTAGCCTAAAAGTATAGATATCTTTTAAGTTTTGGGGTGGACTGCGGCCTAGATTGGCGGCCCTCTAGCTACGATCCTATCAGTGAAATACCAAAAGTGGACAAAGTGAAAGATGAATCAAACATTACATTGTCATAAAATTAACTCAAGACACACTTTGAGACACACACTATCCATCGGCCAATGGAATTGAAGCAGCAGTGACAGGGAGAATACCATCATTGTTTGATCGAAGATGGGTAATATAGATTTGGACCCACTCCAAATTTAAAAATGATATCAGTATAAAAATCTACCTCCTTGAATACCAAACTATTGACCTTCCCATTGACAAACTAAACATTGAAGGCGCACGATTGGAAACGTTAGAGGAGTCTTGATTCAATATGGCAATCACATAGTAAAACAAGACACCGAAAAATCGAGCAAAGCAAACGATTCCTGCTGCGAGTAATATCTTGAAGTGCACCAAAGTCCCGCATTTTTGTCCTTTTAGCATGTGAATAAATTCAAGAACCAGTAAAAATCCTCCTCCTGCACTCGTGACCCTGCAGATACAACATATGGGAGTCAAATAATTAATCAAAGAATTAATTAATTTCAAAATTACTCAACAAACGACATCCGCGAGCGGCTCGTGGATTCTTTAGGAAAAACTCAACTCGAATTTGGTCATATTCAAACGCCCTGCACATCCTTAAGGCGTGATGAGTCTTAAAAAAATCTGAAAAAATAGTGAATGGCGCGCTAGGAAGAATGGCTGAATTGTTCCATTCCACCGTTCCACATCCTTAAGTCCCGAGAAGGTAATTCGTACTCCCTCCATTTTATTAAGATTGTCCCAAACACTTATATGAGGAGTAGTTCAAAGCATTATATAGTGTTTAATTGTTTTATAGATTTCCAGTGTGGGACAAATGGTTTAACACAACACAAATCACTTTTAATTTCTTACTTTATATATCATTTTTTTATCAAATTTGATTCCGATTTTTGCGATTTTGTAAAGTTTTTATTGTAGTTTTTTATTATGTAATTTTTTTCCTTAAAAATTTGAGCGTGGAGATGAATCTGTTTTCTTAGATTCGACCAAATATCGTAAATCGAATTGTCCCAAATATAATTGGACGGAGGTAGTACATTGGATGACGAGTGACTTTAATATACACAAAGTCATGAGAAGGAATTACTCCGTATTGTTTACTCACATTGGATGAGAAGGAACTTGGAAGTAGGATACTACGTATCCGCTGGCTCACATTCATCTTTTTTTAGTTTTGAGTTTGCATCTATTATGCGGAGTATTGCTTAATTATATGACTATAAAATTTATTTCAGTCACTTTGTTCTTGAATATTATCATCATTAACATTATTGTATTATATCTACTAAATAAATAGTAATAATATGCTTATTGTTGTTATTATTACTACCTCCGTCCAAAATCATTTTACAAACTCAAGAATATTTGGTCAATAATCAATGTTAAAGTTAAATTTTTCCTGTTTACTATTGGATTTAATCCAGGATTTTCATAAAAGTTATCCTTATTTATAAATATATATATCACCCCTTTATTGAACTTAAAAATTGATTTGACCTATATATTTTATAAAATCAAGTGTTAACCTTGGTTTTTTATCTAAGGATTTATCTTAAACAAATTATGAGCCCGTTTCACGATTTCTATTTTCTTCTTATTAGTTAATCAACATTTTTATTAAATCTTTAAGTTTTCATTTTGCGCGTTCGGTTGCGTAATAATTTAAATAAGAAAGGTTAAAGTAATTTTTTCTAAATGAATTGGTTAATTTAATTGGTTGAAGATGATTATTTTAGTTTTTTGGCATATGTTTCCTTAATTATATTAATAAAAATATAAATATGTTTAAGTATTTTTATTTGAGCAAATTTAGTCATAATTTCTTGAATTTCATAAGAAATGATAAAGTGATTTTTGTAAATGTACTTTTGTTGCAACGACTTCACTTTTACTTTTGTCAACTCCCAAAACAATTTGTATCCTCCGTGTGAATTGAAATTATGTGTTGGTTAATATTAACCTTTATAAAGTTTTATATTTACAGCATATTCATTGCGATAAATCTTGTATCTAGCTAGTATTGTTTTACATTACATGGTTTATAATTATAGATTTATATGAAATATGTTCAATGAAATTATTAAAACACATAAGGTAACTATGAGCCGTTTGGTAACACCAAAATCGGCTGAATCGGTTGATGCTACTAAAATTTATGAAGTTCTGGCTGAAGTGGCTGGATTGACTTATTTTGCTGCTTTATGAAAAAATATACGAAGTATATAAAATATTTTTTATTAATAAAATAAAGAAAAAATTGTACAAAAAAAGCTAAAATGCTCCTATCAGAAATCAAAAGTTACATGTTTGATGAAAAATTTGTTAATAATTTGAAAAACAGGATCACCAAACGAGCTCTATGTCTAACTAGCTCGTACTATTATACTAGTAAAAAAAAAGTCAAATAATCATATGTGACTTAATTGTCTTTCCATCATTCCCAACTTGTTGCCCCAAAAATCCTGTGTTCATAAACTAACAACACATTTCAGAGAAATATTCGATCCCATAGCAGCAAAACAGAAGCTAAGAAAAGAAAGGAAAAGAGACATACAAGTTCCAGCCAATTAAGATTTTGAGTATTAGTTTGATACGGTTTGGTCGAGCATTCTGATCACCATTTGGTCCGTCAGCAATAAAAATGGCTGTAGCCACCATTTGATCGCCCACAAGAGCCACTATTGCAAGCACCACTTCAATAGCCACAACTAGAGAAAAGCACCTACCTGTCTTCGTCGTCATTGTCATCTACTTATTCCAAAACCACAACAATTATTATAAATGGGTTCATATTTGAGGAAACTTTATGTCAGGTCGGTTTGACCGGGAAAGCCGTCCGGCCGAGCACATATGAGGACCTTCCCGATGGAATTTTATGCGCATGTTCCTCATCAAATCTAGTTTACTCATATCAAGTTTTAGCTAAAATTTAAATCGGGAAGGTAGTCAAATAAATTATTATTTAAGAACATTGCGCAATTAATACGGAGTATATATAAACAGCTCAGGGGTGGACTCGGGCCGGGCCAACCGGCCCGGAACCGGACCGGCCCGCTACCGTGCGGGCCCGAACCGGCCCGGTCAACCGGTTGGTGCACCGGTTCGGGCCACCCGACCCGGTGGGATGGCGGTCCGGGCTCGGGCCTGCTAATACGTGAACCGGCCCGGGCCCGGGCCAGGCCTCCAACGGCCATTTTTTTAATTTTTTTTTAATTTGGAAAAGGCTTTATAGCCGTTGGGGAGCTCCCAAACGGCTCTATCGCCGTTGGGAGCACAGGAGGGGGGGTCTGGGGGGCTAGGGGGGGTGGGGTGGGGTATACAAAAAAACTATTTATACTCCTACTCTCTAATTCTCTATTCTCTCAATCTATCATATTCAATCATCTTCATTCTTCATCTTCTCCAAATTCTTTCTACATATATATATTTTATATAATTATTATATCTACTTATATATAATAATTATATATAAATATATACTTATACACATTCATATTATAATTCTTTACACATTATATTATTTATACATACTATATATAGTTATACACATTCATATTTACTTGATATTTAGTTATTATCCATACTATTGTTATTTACTTATATTTATATATTACATTTACTTAATATATACTTATATATATATATATATATATATATATATATATATATATAAGCATTAAGTATAAGTGTATTACTCATCTTATAGTAATATACTTATATATTATATACTATAAACATTATATTATATATTACTTATAATATATTTATACATTATATATACTATATAGACTTATACACATTCTTATTTATTTGATATTTAGCTTTTATCCATACTATTCTTATTACTTATATTTATATATTACATTTACTCAATATATACTTATATATATATATATATATATATATATATATATATATATATATATATATATATATATTAAAGTTCTACTTAGATATAAAGAACATTTTCCTGCTTTTTTTAAGACAATATGATAACTATATTTTAAACCCCGCTCACATCGACACTTGCGAAAAAATTTGTAATGTTTTGATTTATTTTAATAATGCAACTGATAGTTTTAGTCATGTTTATAAACCTACCTCAAACGAATTTATTCGTGAACTTGTTAATCTCGCCGGTGCTTTTAATGAATTTGAGAATGCCGCTTACGTGAGTTATTTTTGTGCTGTTATGAAGGAAAAGTTTTTAAAATATTATGCACATATTCCGCATATTTATAGTATTGCATTTATTCTCGATCCTCGTTATAGACTTGGTAATTTGGAAGAATGTTTGAAGTTCTATTATAATGCTTTTTTTGGTCCATTTCCAATGTATGACGATAACGCCATAGATCCGCAAGTTGAATACAACGAGGTTAGTACTTTATTTTATGCCTTATTTAATGAGTTTCGTGCACAATATGGCAACGCGCCCCCTCCCCCGACACACACTTCTTCATCTAAGGGAAAATCACTTTTTAAATCTGCTTTTGGCAATCTTATGAAAAAACCTAAAACCACGATTGGTTGAAGGCCATACGTAGATGTCAAGAAATTTGCATCACCCCCTCTCAAGACTTTATGGATGAATCAACAACCGACGGTGGCTCCTATGCCGGAGATTCCGATTGATTAGTATTTTACAATTTGTTATAAAATGTATTTCATTTTTTATTTTTGCCTTCAATTCTCATTTGTTAATTTGTAATTTGTAAAGTTGTAAATTTGTAATTCATATTTCAAATAAATATACATAAATTTTTTTATATGTAGCACTTCTCAAATTAATTAATTAATTTGTTGGTTAGAAACTTACAACTTAGAATTTATTGTATTAGTATTTTTTTGAAGTATGTATTTTATATTTAGCTTGAATTTTTAATTAAAAAAAAAATTTACTAGGCCCGACCCGGCCCGGCGGGTGGCCCGGCCCGAGGCCCGGCGGGTGACCCGGCCCGAACCGGCACCAGCCGAAGGGCGGGCCGGTTCCGGGCCTACCTTTCTAGGACCGGAGGCCCGGCCGGTTCGAGGCCCGAACCGGGCCCGGCCCAAACCGAGTCCAGGCCTATGTCTGGGTCACCCTCCGGTCCGGTTTTTACAACATAGGAGAAAAGCACCTACCTGTCTTCGTCGTCATTGTCATCTACTTATTCCAAAACCACAACAATTATTATAAATGGGTTCATATTTGAGGAAACTTTATGTCAGGTCGGTTTGACTGGGAAAGCCGTCCGGCCGAGCACATATGAGGACCTTCCCGATGGAATTTTATGCGCATGTTCCTCATCAAATCTAGTTTACTCATATCAAGTTTTAGCTAAAATTTAAATCGGGAAGGTAGTCAAATAAATTATTATTTAAGAACATTGCGCAATTAATATATATAAACAGCTCAGTATTTTTTAGAAAATCATTTGATTGTCTTTCCGATTGAATTTTTAGCTGAAATTTGATATGGATAAACTAGACCTGATGAATAACATGCTCAAAACATTTCATCAAAAATTCCACCTGTAAGACCCCCAATTGGGCTCGGTCTGAGGGCGTTCCTGTCAGACCAGCCTGACATGAGGACTACTATATATATACACAAATGATCCTGTCCAGTAGCTCGTGTCCGAACCGCCGTCTGAACAACACTTTTCCCGTGGAATTTTTTTATGATATGTTTTTAGCATGTTCCTCATCAAGTCTAGTTTATCCATAAAACATTTCAGCTCAAAATTCGATCGGGAAGGCAGTCAAATAATTTTTGAAATTGACGGTGTTTTCTATGTATAATTTTGCACAGTCAACTACAACAAATTATTTGACTGCCTTCCCGATCTAATTTTGAAATGATTTTTTTTGACAAACTAGACTTGATGAGGAACATGCTAAAAAAAATTCATCAAATAATTCCACCGGGAACTGCGCCAAATGACTGAGTTTGGACGGAGGCTCCCGTCCCTCCGGCTGGACATGATCATTATATTCGTCTATAATACATACACATGTATAATAAATCAGACATGTATTTACCCTTTCCAATTTCACTTGCGATTTCACTTGATATGCTGCGACTAATCCAAGAACCGCTGCTATAACACCTAAGCAAAGATACACACACAACAGACACCAATTTGGGCCATTTCTAATTAGGGCAGCGCTATGCTATTGGTTTTAACATATAATATTAATTAGAAGAAAATGAAAAGAAAACTCGAGACTGCTCTTTCTTCTCGCTACCTAATTGAGTCTAAGAAGTTAGAATGGAGATCAGATCGAGATATACGACTATATATTTATAGTAATCCATCCTTCTATATGGTGGCAGTGTGACGTTTCTTTAGCTTTAATTTAGAATTGAAGGTTTAAAAAAAAAGAGAAAGTACTTCCATTTGTCCAAAATAAGTTCAATGTTTTTTCTTTTGACTTTTTAATTATACCTTATTAATACATAAAATATATTGTAGATTTGTCTCCAACTTATGTTTAGGTCTATTGTTAGTCATCTGACTAGACTCACGCTCTGTTTGTAGGTGATTGTGCTTAAATAAAAGTACTTTTTGGGAAAAAGTGATTAGTAGTAAAAGTTTGTAGTGTTTGAAAAAATAAGTGCTTTTTGTGTAATAGAAAAAGTAAAAAGTAGATTCTACACGAAAACTGAGAAAGTAAAAATTGATAGTGTTTGATAAAATAAGTGATTTTTTCATTAAAAAAGTCAGAATCACTTATTTTAAGTGATTGCAAATAGAGCCTCACTTGCGGACGAGTCATCTATTGCTTGGCTAAAAAAGTGTACTATCTCGTGAAAAAAGCATGCATTTATTGATAGTATACAAAGTTAATTATTTGTTATAAGTCATCCCTAATGGGAAAAGGGGCAAATAAGGCCACGTACTAACAAAAAAAGGTCAAATAAGGCCTTATTTATGAGGCTCTGTCCGGCCTTCGCCATTTGGGGTGGTTCGCGGTGGAATTTTGTAATGAAATTTTTTGAGCATCTTATTCATTAAGTCTAGTTTACTCATACCAAATTTCAGCTAATAATTCAATCGGGAAGGCAGTCAAATGAATGCTTGAAGATAACTGCGCTTTTAACTGCGCAGTTATCTTCAAGAATTCATTTGAATGCCTTCGCGATTAAAGTTTTAGATCAAATTTGGTATGAGTAAACTAGACTTACTGAATAAGATGCTCAAAAAATTTCATCAAAAAATTCGACCGGGAACCACCCCAAATGGCGACGGCCGGACAGAGCCTCTTAAATAAGGCCTTATTTGACCTTTTTTGGTTAGTACGTGGCCTTATTTGCAACTTTTCTCCATCCCTAATTAAGTAAAGTTACAAGACTAACAACATATCAACATAAACAAACATTAAGGGGCTAAATCAATATATCTCTTATATTTTGTCAAATTAGAATGAAATTGAAGCTTACTTTTGTAGCATAGTTAAGATGTGTTAATTTACCCTTTTCTAGGGTTGTAGACGAATAGAATAATTTTGATTCGATTTGTGATTCGTAATCGCAAATGTGAATTCAAATTCTAGTAAGTAAAATGTGAATACGGATACAAATCATTAAAATACATTTCAAATAGGAACACAAATACTACAATATTCAAATTATATAGGAATACACACACATATTCATACAATATATATTACTCCGTACTTCTTATAAATTAAATTACTACTCGTCTACTCCAGCACTACCGCACAGGGTAGATTAAAATTGCCGAACACAGTGAAAAAGTTGGCCGAAAAGAGAAACGACCGCACTATGACCAAATTCATTCTAAACAAGAAGACCAAAGGCAGAATTCTGTGGGAATTGAGATGCGCGGAGGGAAGAGCTCTCAATTGTTTCGCATATACTTAATCTATCGTTTATTACTTTTTAGATTATATATTTGGATATTTGAAAATGTCAAACTGCTATTTTTAATATTTGTTGGAAACATTTTATAATTTGGCTTTTAGATGTCATAAGGTGAAAAATGATAAAAAAAAATGTCCATCGTAAAAGAACTATTTTAACAAACTGAAATAAGGTCAAATGTGATTTTCAGTAATTCTCTTTTTTCAAGTTAGTATCTCATTTTGGCTAATTAGCTTTTTCATGTAAAAGAAAAAACAATACTCCAATGATTAACCTTAAAATTGCAAGCAACTCCTCAAAAGTAGACATTTTGAGCAACTGGAACCGCAAGCAGTCTACTGCTCCAAACGAGCAATCCTAAATCAAACTGCCATATTGATCTTCTTGCATCTAGACATAACAAATTAACACCCCCATAATTATCCCTTCAAATTAAACTAATACAAAATAAATAAATTGTTTTAAATAAGACTAAAACATATATAGCCAAACTACACGAATAGAATTAATTAACAAATAGGTCTATTATTTTTGAAATTTGATGAATAGTTTATATCAATTAAGAGTGCTAATTACTTCCTAAATTAGAAATAAGCTTAAACGGACAAAGAGGGAAAATCTTTTATTAAAGGGGACAAATTAATAACCTATATTGTGTTTTTTTAAGTGCGTAGCACTTTTGTAGTGATATCCACATTAGTAGCTTAATTAGTACGAACGAAGTGTGAGATCGATATCATATTAGACTCATAAATTCCACATTAGTAGCTTAATTAGTACGAACGAAGTGTGAGATCGATATCATATTCATGAGCAACTTGAGCTATCCAAATGATCATATTCATAGTACGAACTACGAAGTACGCAGGGCCGGCTCCAGCCATTTGGAGGCCTCAGGCGGAATAGTTTCACAAAAACTTCAATAAACATATATTACAATTATAAAAGACAATGATATATAAGATAAAATAAATGCAAAAACAGCATGTATTGTGAATTTCAAAACAATATAGTTTTAAATGTAACATACGTAAAATGTATTAAAAGTGTACTTTTTAATACCCAATTCTCCTTGCCTTTTGAAGTGAAAAACTAGTAAGGACGTCACTACAATCAAGACTCAGTGGCGGTTCTGGGGGGAGTTAGGCCAGGCACTTGCCTTGGGCCTCACCTCCCAAGGGGGCCTCTGTGAAAATACTACTCCTTAGTGATGTGTACTTCAATGTTTGGAGTCCGGGAGATGCTCTTGGTCTATCAAGACAGCTTGATAACTTGATTGAGGAAAGCCTGAAGCTTGCAAATCGGCAATAACGCAATTGCCGACGCCCTAGTTGGCAAATCCCAAATCCCAACTGGCAACCCGTGGCTTCTCATCCGACCACAGAAAGCCAGATCGCCCTTTCATCTTCCTGGCCTGTGACTGGTACTGCTGAGTACTGACCATCGGATGACCAACCCGTCGTCACCGACCTGAGTTAGCGAATCTAGTTCTCTACTTCTCTAATTCTCTTATTACTCTTTGTTTGATTGCCTCTAAATTTTAGTCAATAAAATAGACTTAATTGGTCTTACGGTCTCGCTCTCTATTGCCTGGCTCACCTGGCTATTGAATTGCTTGTGTAAAAACTAAAAACGATAGAAATGGCTATCTTAGAAAAGCACCGGCTATATATTTCTTTCATTTTAGGTAAATTCCTCAATTAAGGATTTTCTGTTTTACCTTTTTGTTGAGGTAAATTCCTAAATCCGATAGTACTAACTACTATGTACTCCGTATTATTTATGACGTGCAAGGAAAGGTCTAAAATTATATACTTAAACATATGATCAATGAATTATGAATATAATGTAAAAATTATATAATTATATTGGTATTGTAAGAGTTGGACGATTAATAAATGAAATATATACTTTCTGCTTGTGATGATTGAAATACGAAGTATTTAAGTAAATTTTACTAGTACCATCATATTGATGTACTAATAAAGTGGTTATTTTGTTTGATTTGTTTTTGTCATGCACAAAAACTTGTTTTTTCAATTTTAGCTTTTTATTGATAGACTGTTTGTAATTTTTGAATTACCTATGCCTATGTAGATATTGTGGTGATAAACAAATGAAAATGGATGTATTGTTGGTTTAAGACCATTTATTAATTTGGAAATGGACTCAATCGGAATTCACCGTCATTGGGCAAATCATATTACTAATGTAATTATGTAAGAGTTGCCTAGGGCCTCTAACATCCTAAAGCCGCCCCTGTCAAGACTAGCTAACATGATATTTGCATTCTCATTTTCAACATTATTCTCATTCTCACCATCAACGTTCATATTGTCATTGTCAACAACAGTTGAGGAAGATGGAATTGTCTTTATATACTGATCCATAGACCCGAAAAATAATTTAACAACCAAATCTTTTCTCAACTTATTCTTTCTCTTCATATATCCGGAATCAAATTTTCGCTTACCCGTCATGACAAATGACAACCGACAATACCTACACATTTGAGAATTAACATACTTATAACAAAAATAGAAGTATAGATAATAATTAACACAAACACCTAGACAACTACTTAGTCCCCACTAGTCCACTACTAATAAAAACTACAGCAAACTACTTAACTCCTAAACGTCTAAACTAGCAGTAGAAAGTGCGAAACTAAGTCTAGAAAGGCAGAAAGCCAGGGGCGGATGCACTAAGGCCATAGGGGGGGCAGCTGCCCCCAATAGATTCCCACTAAATTCATATATTTTATTATAAATTATTAAGAGATCAACTTTTTGCCCCCAATTAAAAAATATTATTGCCCCCAATAATCTTCTTGCCCCAAGCGAAATGGCTAAATGTCAAAATGAAATTTCAGGACTCACCCACTACCCTCATTCCTCCGTATATATATGCGTTGGTTAATTAATGTTTTATATTAGTTTCTATAAAAATACTACTAATGTTGTTTCTATATGAATGTTAATAATTTATTTGAAATGTCATTTTATTGTAAATTCAAGTTTCAGCCACTTCAAAAGTACCAGAACCCTTTTATAGCTTGTCTTATGTAAAATTTCAGTTCATTATTCATATGTTATATATTCTTGGAAGGGTTCATGATTACTAAAAAGGTCATTTAGTAAATGTCATTTACTAACAATTGTAAGGGTTAGTAATATTTCTTTTAGATTGAATTCAAATGGCTAACTAACAAATGCCGTTTAGATACATTTTTCTTCAAGAAGCCACTATACATACAAATCCAAAATGTAAATACTATGTTATTCTAGAAAGTTAAATAAATAAATAATGATATATATGAAACTTATGACTAAAATAAAGATGATGAGAAAACCTACATGACCTTGTATAAG